ATATTGGCCTTACTTTTCTATACTAAAAAAAATGGTTGAAATTTTATGGTCAAATTCAACATTGTTAAGGCACCATATTTTTTTTGTTATTATTATTATTTTTTTAAATAATGTAAGAAAGTGATGTCCTGAGAAAAAGATGTTAAGGAAAAGGAAATTTAAAAGAGAGTTTCTTCTTTCACATCAACCAAAAACCACATGGAAAATGAAATTTTAATACTTAATTTTTATATTTTTTAATGCTGTACTTACCCCTTTGTATGAAGTGAAAACTCTTCAAATTCAATTCATTTGAGGCTTATCTCAAGTTCTATCCTCTCAAACTCTTAGGATTTATCACATTTTTTCTAAACTTAAGATTTTTATTTTGATGTTAAAACATATATTTTGATTTTCAATTCAATTAAATGTTTTTTTTTTTTCCCTATAATGTGATAAATTTTATTCATTTAAATAAAAATTTGTTTCTAACTTGAATACTTCTTATTCTAATAATATACCTCTTATATAGAATTAAACTTTTTCACTTCTATTTACCAATAGTTTCTTCCCGGAGATTTTTAACTTTTTTGTAAGGAAAGTTTTCCAAACATTAGAAAGTCTTGAACATTTTTCCATTGGGGATTCTGTAACGCTGTCTAGACCCATACTCATAGAGAAAAAGGCAAGTAAAATCCAGCGATAAAATTCAGTGATAAAGTAAATATTGATATATTGATCCAGTAATTTGTAAGGATGTTCTAGATTGGTCTAATTCAACAAAAATAAATAATATGTTCAAGACCAACTCAAAATATATGTTCTAAAGAATGAAGTAGAGCAAAATAAATAAATAAATAAAATACTATAATGAGATTTCCTTGTCTTCATTAGGAAAATCTTTCATTTTTGTGTTTGAAGAGATGAAGGAAGGTAAGATGAATGAGAATTTGAAAGAATTTAGTTAAGTATTATAACTTTAAGAGAAAAAGGGCAATTATGGTATTAAAAATTGTAACAATCAAATTTTGTATAATTTATACAATCTTTTGTAATTTCATCTTAGGAGAGAGAATGAATAGTGGATAATGGTGGAGCGCCAATATCAGTTCACATATATTTTTATCACTTCTTAATTTTGCATGAGATAAAGTAATTAATTAAAAATGATTTTAAAAAATTGAATGTAAATATAAGACATGGCTTGTAATAAAAAATAGAATTTCTTTTATCAGAAGTTCAATGTACTCATTTCATATGAAAATAAAACAAAGATAATGATGACACAATGACTTCTTAATATTGTGTGTTAAGTTTGTGGTACAAATTTTTGTTAATCATACCTTTAAAAAAATTAAAAAGAAATACCTTTCAAAATAAAATTATCATCAATCATTTTCTCGCTCATCTAAAAACTTACCAATATATGAAATTGATTGTAAATGCTAATATAATATATACATATATCTTTCTCCATGTGCTATAATTTTTTAAGGGTATATAATTAAAGAAAACAAATTACTAAAGGTATATTATTGAAATATATATATATATATATTCAGGCAAATTGCCCCCCTAGGGCTGTATGTCCCGCCTTGACTATATGATTCGCTGTACATGAAAATGTAAATTTCACTATACAAAAGGTAGAATTCACTTTACTAATGGAGTCCCCTCTCTTTCGAGAATGGTTTTTACTATTCCTTGTACACTAAATCGTTTAGTAAATGTGACACGATTCAAATTTTTGTTATTATTAAATTATTAAAAATGGAGATGTTAGCACATTTTAGTGAAGGTTAACCTTAATGTAATAATAAAATTACACCATGGTAATCTGAAAATTAAATATTTATTTTTAAAAAAATACGCTTTTCATGCAAGGGAAGACACAGCTAGCAGATTTGATTGGGGAAAATAAAAAACACAAAAAATACCTAATAATTCAGGGGAGAGTCAAGCCCACCCACAAGGACCCAACTGAAAAGCAACTTACTTTCCTTAGCGAGTTTAAGAAATTTTCGTACTTGAGCGAGTAGAGAAGAAGTGGCGCTCTTTTAAGCACCGCTTTTACTAAACTACGCTTGTGTCAGACGTCTATTAATAGATAAAGTGGAGTCATCATTTTAATACGTCTAAAAAAGAGTTTAAATTTATTGTATCACGATAACTTTTGGTACAATTTCTCACGAGTCAATAAGCACGTCTAGAGTCGTTCGACGCAAAATTTCTACACTTCATAACCTTTGTACTTTTCTGGGTGATGGATCTGGTGCCACTCGAGTCTATGGTAAAGATCCAAAAACCAAGGAATTATGTGGTCAATGGATATTACACGAATTTATAAGTACAAATTTAACCCAACTAAAAAAATCTGTAACCTTGACTATATAAATTGTCAACTTTTTATTTGTCTATTGTTTTATTTTGAAATATTTTAAAAAATATGTCTTATTTCAAAATTAGATTTATTATTTTTTATAGCATTTCTAAATTATCAATTTAACTTAATAAGTGCATTATCGTATCTTTTAACAATGACAAATTTGAAACTTCACTCCTATCAATATAATAAAAAATTATTAAAAATTTTCAAACAGGACACATGTATTTTGAGATAAAATGAGTAATATATGTTTATAGAAATAAAAGTTTTACCACATTCAAATTGGATCAACTCGAATACAATTTAAGTTTATTTATTTAAATTTCTTTTTATTTTTATTTTGATAACAAATTTTATTTATAAAAATATTAATAATAATAATAATAATTAAAATGAAAGTGGAACTTAATGTAACAATAAGAATGCTGTATTGTAATTTTACCGATTATAAGTTTGGAATGAAAACAATGACTACAAAAAATGCTCACTTTCCCTTGATAGCTGAGTTCCGAAATCGTAATTTGTCATCCAAACTTAAGCAATAATGAATTGTTTCTAATTAACCATATATAATTTACTGATAAGTGGTAAAACTATTATATTCTCAACTATAAATGATATATATAGTTCATAAAAGAATGTATGCTCAACTTAATTAGATAAGATTAACTTTATTTCTTTTGGTGGGACAAGCATGTGATGGAATATGGTGTTCTGAGGAGTGTGACGCTAACATTAAAAGAGAGAGAGAGATATTGGTGATAATTTTTAAATTTTTTATTTGCTGGTGTGAATTAGTAAGAATTGTGCATAGGATAAAAATTAAAAGGCATTTTATTTATTTATTTATTTATTGCAGTTAAAGCAACACACATATATAGATGAACTATTGTATTTATAAAAATGTGTGTAACAGAGTTACACAGGTGAGGCGAGTCATGTTTCACGACTTGATAATGATATTGATTGATTACATAGTATTAATTATTTAAATCAAGAGTAAAGAAAGTAAGTGATTCCATGACATATTTGGAACTTAGCTGATCACTTGATTAATATAATCGGATATTATAGCACTGGTTACAAGACAATTTAAGTAGTTGCTTATTACAGTATATAATTATATAATATCAATGGGCACACGAAAACTCTCTCTTAGATGTAGGTGATGAAATCGATCTTTCTTTCTTTCTTTTTATTTATTTTATTTATTTATTTTTGACTAATCAACCAAAAGCTTGAAAGCCATCTATCTCTTCTTTTATTTTAACCTTTTTTTTAAGCAAACCAAATAGCCAAATCACCATCAGTCTTGTAAGGATTTGATAGGTCCAAAGTTGTGATAATGACCATTATCTTATTGCCCCCTTTCAATTGATGATACTGCTATATATATATATATATATATATATTGGGCAAGATGCAATTTAGCATCCTAAGAAAGAATCCTTTTTGCATATGAAACCTGTTCTTTGGAAAAGGCAACAAAATATAAGATATTGATGTCACCTTCAATGCAGTTTCCTCATATTCCTTCACTGCTTAAATATCATATATGACTCCACCAATAGTGGGCCCCTTTTTTTGGTATATTTCTTTCTTTAAAAACAAAATTTTCTTTTCTTTATGCTTATATGTACACACACAATACTATATAAAATGTTATTGTCTCTTTCAACCTTCATTTGACCTAAGCAAGTAGCTAATGTTTCAACCACACATTTGTGAAATATTTTGATCATTTTTAGTCTGATAAAGTTGTTATATTGTGACCCAAAGTCACTCAGTTGAAATTCTCTATTCTATTTTTTATTTTTTTTTCTTGACTTTTTTATAAAAATTATTACAGCTATAAGACTATAACCCTTCTATTCTATCTGATATATTTAGAATATTGAGTTGTATTTTTTTAAAATATTATTTTTGTTATTAGTATTGAGGCTACTCCCTCAAAGTCAATATTGGAACAAATGAAACATACTTCCTAGTACCATAATGGAGCGATGGTAACGCCAACCAAAATGGAATTTGACTGCTTCGGCTTGAATTAGTAAAATGAAAAAACAAAAAAAAAAAATAGTGTGATTATTCAAATGGGATTTGGAGGAGTAAAGACTAAAGAGTGACGTTTGACCTTCCAATAACACAAATTGAATGCTGAAAAGCCATCAATTAGAACTGAAAATTTGGACAATGATGCAAACACTCGAGCTCTCAAGTTGACTTTAACACATTAAATCATCATAAGATAATTAATAATCAGAAAATAAATTATATTAACTACTCTATGTATATATACATATGCGTGGGTGTATGTAATTCTATCTCTTGGTCAGCTAGTGATCTTATTACAGAAATGGGTTATATATATATATATTCGTGGGTGTCTGATAAATTTGGGGAGTTAATATTCAAAGTTAGAAGAGTCTCCTTCGTACTACACTGGGTCATAGGCGAGTGGTGGCTCTGTGGTTACTGCTTCAACTAAAATGACGTGCAAAATGGAATAAATAGAAATGAAAAGAGTCAATTTGATAGAAGCTTTATTTTCCAATTATGTCCTACTTAATGCTGAGATGGTGATGTTCAACAACAAAGCTGAAAAAACATCAATCACCATTAATTCCAACATGTACCCACACACAAATATTTGTGAGCGACAAATAATTGGAAAAATATATGTATATCAATTCATAAATTGCCAATTATTTACTTTTTTCTAGTCAACAACTTACAGCTTGCATACAGAACCCGGAAAAGGACCAAAAAAAAAAAAAAACCCTGGATCCCATTAAACTAGAAGGAAGCATAAGCCATTAGAGGTTTCTTTTTCTAGTTGGGGAATCCGTCTGATGCAATACAGCACACACGTTGAGGTGCACAAAATCCCAACATTTACACGTGTGTGCGCGCTGGGATGCATCCGATACAGTACCACACGAGGATCCCAACTCTTCTTTTCCACCTCTATAGAAACTCCTGTTCATGGAAAAATATTTCGATCTCAACAATTATACCATCACACATAACTACACCTGCACTAAAACATCACAGCTAGCCAATACATACACCATAGCTACTACTAATCTAGACACAACATAATCCTTTCTCATCCATAAAGCTAACTAAAAATTCTGATAATTAGTTACCAAGATTTGGAGAACTTCTGTTATATATAAAGAAAAAGAAAGAAAAACTAAACACAAAAAAAAAAAAAAAATTGGCTCTAACCTCAGGCATCAATTAAACTTGGAAGGATTGTGGGCAAAAAGCCACCTAAAATAACTTGGTACACTAACAAGTAGTTTCCACTCGTCTTATGGGAAAACCTGGCATAGCACAACAAGAAAATCTCATCGGGGTGTGCGTTTACAGCCTCCGGGGAGAAGGAACTGGTACTTGTCCGCATTCTCTATCAAGTAAGCAGGAAGATGAACTGCAGAAGCCGAACGGGGTATTGGTCCCATCTTCTTGATCAATTGCTGGAAACTATACTCCTCGGGTAACATATCAAAAAGATCATCTCCCTGACAAATGAGTCTTTGAATTCTAGAATAATTTAGAAAATCTTTATGTTTCACTCGGTCTGCGTGGCTGTATGCGGTCATTTTGAACACAAACTCGCCAAGATGTTTGAAGCAAAAACTACAATGCCATCCCGCATCTGACAGGATAAGATCAGTTTGGCGGGAATGCCGATAGCGGGTTTGCGGGCCATAAATGTGGATTGTGGCTCGCCAGCTGCTATAGTCAACAGGGAATTCAAAGGAGTACATATAATCTCTCAGCTCGAGATGCAAAACAGAAGGCATCCCATCACACCATTGAAGGAGTTTAACAGTGTGAGGGCTTGGAATCTCATCAGTGTCAGACATAATGACGAGGTCACCACTAGAAATACCTGCACGACGAAGTAATCCATTCATAGCCCCACGTTGCAATGATTCAAGTCTCCATGGATCTTCATGTAACCCGTAGGATGCAGCCAGCCCAGGAAATACACCATGAACAATTTTCCCCTCAGCAAAGGCAAACCTGTTTCGATTTGACGCAAAGAAAAGAGGCTTGGGAATACCAGTGAATGTGGTGTTGGCTTCCAGAATTACAAATTTTGTCACATAGGGATGGAGTTCACGCCACCGAATCTCGAGCATGTCCAACTCATTGCTGAACATTATGCCATCAAAGACACGGCGGGGTTCGGAGCGAACAGACCAGCCATGGAGGTGGCAGAGGTGTTGCATAGAGACATTCTCTGCATAATAATGCGGTAGGTGCTCAAAAGGGGGAGGGGGGTTATCCCAAAGTGGGCGGAAGAAATAGGAGATCTTCTGTCCATGGGTAAAGATCCCAATAACACAAAGTGGCACAATAATCAACAGTACAATAAAAAGAAACTTGGGAGGAGTTCGTCTGGAGGTGAGTCGGAGTGGTCGCGGGGCCATGCTGTGGAGGACAACGATAACAATGAGAAGCAACTAACATGGCAATTCAAGTCATGGTTCTGCTCATCAATGACCATCTGCATAATTTCAAGAGTGGGTTGGAGGCTGGAACAAAGAGAAGAAAATGTTTTAAATTACATCAAAGTAATAAAATGTTTTACAACCATATATTATGCAAATACAAGTAATGAGAGTAGATTAACTAACACAACGATATTTAGCAACAACAATATTGTTACAAATGCAAGAACAGTTTAGCTGTTGCCAATTAGTATCTACATCACGAAAGTGAGTATAATATTTTAAACCAGCATAACCAATATTGGCCTTATGACTAGCACTAACAGTGTGGCACCATATTATGGAGGTTAATATTTACAGGATAATATAAAGACATGATAGAAAAAGAAATAAAAAAAGAATGGGTCACAAATGTTCTGCAAATTTAAAACTAGAAACAATTTACAATTTCAAGGAATGAATATGACTAATTTGGTGAAAGAAGCATGCTACCCACTTCTTAAACATTATAACATAGAATCTAAAGCATAGTTTTAGAAATTGGTTCAGGACTATCAATTTAGAAATTCCTGCAACAATACTATTCAATGTACTGAAGCAATAATGTTCACCAGTTACTTGGTAGTACTCTTTACAAAATCAAGGGCTATTTCAGTATTGTAGGCTTTGTAGCGTGACATTTTACGCTACATAAAAAGTCATTGGTGAGGGCTATATAGTCTTTTACAGTTTCTTCTTGCTGAAATTACAATTTGAGCCTGTGATTATAAATTTCATTATTATGATTTTGTGTTAATATAGGTATGTCAATCTTATTTTATTATAAATATAAGTTATCAGAACATTGTAAAGGATTTTTCCAATTAATCAATTGAGTTATGTCCTACAAATTATTGAAGATTTAATGGAGGAATCAGTGGAGGAAAATCTTACAGTAATTGACGTTGTTTCCTATTATTGAAGATTTGGTGTTGTTACTAGAGGAATCAATGGAGAAAAATCCTCCTTGTTTCCTATTTTCTAAATCTTTCCATTTTCATAATTTCATCTCCTATATAAAGGAGCCTCCGCCATTGTATTGTATATGAATTGAAAGAGCATTATAAAAGTGATGTAGCACTTTGGACTCTGTGTCGTGGATGTAGGCCCTAGTGGCTTAACCACATAATTTCTCTTCCTAGGTTCGAATACCTATTTTGGGGTATTCCCTTAGCATCTGAAATGTTGCTAAGGGTTTCTCGGTGCTACTTGTGACTTGTTTGGGCTTCCAGTTTGTTTGACAGTAATGTTCTTCACCTTTGCCATGTCTTCGGTAGTTTTTATCGACTTGTTTGGGCTGCCGGTGTGTTCGGTATCATTGTCTTCGTCTTTGCAGTGTTTCCGACAGTTTTTATCAACTTGTTTGAGCTGCCGGTGTGTTCGGTAGCATTGTCCGTGCCTTTGTCGTATCTCCGACAGTTTTTTGTTGACTTGTTTGGGCTGTTGGCGTGTTCGGTAGCATTGTTCTTTGTCTTCTCTCTTCATCATTCACACTTGTTACTCGACATCTCAATGGCAAGTTGGGTATTCATGCTCCAACTTGAAGGGAAGAATTGAAGATTTAATAGAGGAATCAGTGGAGTAAAATCTTTCAATAATTGATATTGTTTCCTATTATTGAAGATTTGGTGTTACTAGAAGAATCAGTGGAGAAAATTCCTCCTTGTTTCCTATTTTCTAATTCTTTCCATTCTCATAATTTCTTCTCCTATATAAAGGAGCCTCCACCATTGTATTGTGTATGTATTGAAAGAGTATTATAAAAGTGATGTAGCCCTTTGGACTCTGTGTCGTGGATGTAGGCCCCAGTGGCTGAACCACATAATATCTGTGCGTTCTACTTTTTTTATTTATTTTATCTCTTCACTTCCGTTTTATGCTTTAACAACATAAATCAACTAAATGGGGCCAACTTCCCAAACTGACTCAACCACAGCCACTGGAGTTTATGTATGCACATAAATGAAACCAATGGTAGTGGTTGAGTATGTTTAGGATGGCAGCCCTATTTTGTCATTCAAATATCTTTTCCTAATAAATTTTGCCTTTGCCTCTTTTGTTTCGATGAGAACATTAGGGTTGCTTGACTAGCACCATTGTAAGATGTCTCTCCTATATTTCCCTCTAAGAATTGGAGTTTATGTAGGCACATAAAAGAAACCAATGATTGTGGTTGAGTCAGTTTAGGATGCCAGCCCTATTTAGTCATTGAAATATCTTTTCCTAATATATTTTGCCTTTGCCTCTTTTGTTTCGATGAGAACATTAGGGTGTCGCTTGACTAGCACCACTGTAAGATGTTTTCTCCTCTATTTCCCTCTAAGAAATTCGGCTTCATGACAGAAGTATGTTTTTGTTTGCTTGTTCTCACAATTGCATTAATTATTATTATAGTCAAAATGATCCAAAATTTTGCGTCAAAGAAGAAGAAAAGGTTGAAAGAGATAAAAGCATGGTTAGAATGAGCCCAGAACTTGATGATGTTGTGAATGAGAACTTGTTAGAGTTCACATGTAGATTCAAGAACACACTTACAGACCTTTGCACTGAAAGCTAGTCACAAAGAAGTATTTTGTGGATAAATATATTCCTGATTTATCAGAAAATGGCTCAGTAGATTGAATTCTCCACCAGTTTGTGATGTCTACCTAAATAAGACTGATATGTGTAAGAGTAATTACTTAGGTATTCTTGGTCAATCCACAATTATTGATCCGAATATCCATAAGAAGAAAAGGTTGGAAGAGATAAAAGCATGGTTAGAATGAGCCAAGAACTTGATGATCTAGTGAATGAGAACTTGTTAGCGTTCACGTGTAGATTCAAGAACACACTTACAGACCTTCAGACACACTGAAAGCTAGTCACAAAGATGTATTCTGTGGATAAATATATTCCAGATTTATCAGAAAATGGTTCAGTAGATTGAATTCTTCACCAGTCTGTGATGTCTACCTAAATGAGACTGATGTGTGTAAGAGTAATTACTTAGGTATTCTTGGTCAATCCACAATTATTGACCAGAATATCCAAAAGTACTTGATAAATGTCCCAAGAAAGTATATTCAATTGTTATCATTTTTCCCTCAATGAATAATGAATGTTGAGATAGATTTATATTTACTTAGTTCGTATTACATTTAATTATGAGGAATCTCATGTGTCTTGTGATACAAACGTAAAGTTTGATTGTATTTTAAAAGATTTTATGGAACATAAAGTCAACATTTATTCAGTTTATTGTTATTTTGGGCACTTAATTGAGGGATAGGTCGATAGTCAAAAGTTTCCTATTCAAAATTTATTCTCAATGAGATAAGGCAGACTATTCTGCAGTAGAACAACTATAAAAAGCGAAGGGGAGTTGAGGGGTTTGAGCCCCATATTGGGCATTTGTGTGTGAGAAAGAGAATATTTACCTAACCAAAAAAAAAAGATTGTAGAAACGAAACTCAAGGCTGACTTTCTCCCAACCAGTAAAGTCCTGTAACACTACTGTAGATAACAATTCTATTCATGAAGCTGTAACAGTACTATAGCTTGATTCTGTTCACACTATAGTCAAAATTACTAATAGGAGCTTCATCAACTTTTTTCCTTTCCTTTTACCTAAGTTATTAACTACAACTATGATCAAGAATTTTTAGTAGGTTGTTATTGCCTTTGACCATTTTGTAACACTGAAAAAAGTAAGTTTTGCTTGGTTAGCACCCCTTTTTTCGGGTAAGTATGGTTAGCACCCCTGTAAGAAAGTATTCTTTCGCTTCCCTCTAAGAAACTCAAGCTTTGACATAGATGAAGGAATGACTTCACCTTAGCTGTGCATTAAAACCCTTCCAATAGAAATGTTACAAAATTTCAAAGAATACTTTACATGTTTATTTTTAATCCGAAACCCTAGCAAATCCCATTATCATGTTGAAAAACGAGCCATTTTCTCAATTTAAATAGGAATAAGTACTGTTTATCTCAGCAGGTAAATTTCTTCATCAAAGGTGGTAGTAAAGTAAATAATAGTTTAGACCACATCCCATGAAGGTGCAACTAGTGGGTAATCATGAGAGTAAAGTAACTACTATACAAAAGTAGCTTCAGAAGTGAGGATGCCTTCCAATCAAACACATATAAGTTTAGAATTTTATATAACCATAGATGTCAGGCCCAACAATGCAAGGTGTCCATTTGATATACAAACAATAAATAATCTATTGCATTAATGATGCCACCTCAATAGCTAGGAACTCTTGTTTACAATAAATAAACTGAAAAACAACTTGAGCAACAAGAACAAGTAGAACTAGAAGAAACGGTAAAAAAAAAAAAAAAAAAGTTTCTAAAGATCATTTATGTAAAGAAAAAAAAAAAAAAAGAAGATTCATCATATCTAATTGATGTACAACGACAACTCATTCAGGACAAAAATGCATATTTTGAATCCGTCACTCCAAAAGGAGTGTAGTTCCACACAAATGTTACCATGACTCTAAAATACCTATGAAAATGATAACCAGTTTGGAAAAGGAGCATATTTGACTTTTTAAAATATTGCTTGCATGGAATTCAAATTTAAGGGTAGTTTAAAAGCTAGACCAGATTTCTTTTCATCAATAAAGGACGCTGAATGAAACATTAATTTTAAAACGCAGTTCTCCATTTACTATTAGAAGGATGTTTTCATGTGAATTTAACATCTACGGACACAACAATAAGAATATCATCCTCCTCTAACAAGCATGAATTCTTGACCTTGGGGTTTGCAATATCCAATGGAATCGAACAAAGCAACAAGGAGGCATGGTAACACACTCATACTCTCCCTCATAGGTTTCTTCATGTCTTATGATATAATTAGTGAGGTTTGATTTACAAGTCTGAGGATTCTCATCTTGTGCAAATGACGTCAAAGATTGGGTCTACATGAAGTTTGCCCCTTCCAGCACCCTGTATAAACGAGGATCAACATCCTTTTCTTCAAATTGCCTTGCAAAAGGGAATAAATAATACGAATATTTGAGGTGGTTGTATTAGTTTCAAGAAAGGGAAAAAAAGAATTTAAACATATGTGACACTTTGGGAGGAACAAATCATTGTTTATTGCCAAACCCCTTGTGCTTAGCTTCAATTTTATCAATTCAAATGCACTCAACATACTCCTACTGTCTTGTACTTTATAAAGGCGGTTCTGATGCAAACAGAGGAGGGGGGTTATATGATAGACGTAGTTGTTGACCAACTGACAAGTGCCAATCCTTCAGCTAATTCTTCTTCCTTCACTCTTCCAAAGTGTCCGTTAGGAGCTATTCCCACAATACAAATGGCAGCAGTCAATATGAAAATGGATTACCCAGTCTGGTTACCTAACTGCATGTGAAGGAAACCTTCAAAGAGCCCATTCAACAAAATAAGATGGAACGGGGAAAAAAAATGCAACAATGAATGTGTTGCTTCCTCCCAATTCCAAATTCAACACTACAAGAAATTTCAATTATTGCAGGCCTATTTGATGTCCATACACTACTCTAGGGATACCATATTTTATTTTTACATTAATATGCTTGCTATCATCACATTTTCCAAGAATAGAAAAAAATCAAGAGCAAGGCAGCTAGGCCGTTTCCACACATTAACAAAGGCTTTTTAAAATTGCCTATAAAAAAATTACTCATCCAAAGTGTGTTTGGTTGCCTAACTTCACCTTCAATCTTCTTTCTTTCCAACACATTGGTCCCAACATCTGCAAAGTGGCTAATGTAACGGGCTGGGAACTTCGCGATTCGACCCAAAAGCTTAAGTTGTTAGGTGAGGCTAACACCCAACCCACATATACCCATTCACTACCCATCCGGATCCGGTTTGGGACAAGTCCTTCTTGTAACAGCTACCTCATCAGTAGCTCCACTAATGCCTCTCCTAAGAGGCTTTTGACTCTCATCTCTCTCCTGATACACCACTAAAAGTGGCGTTCACTCTAGCCATCATTTACTCCATAGCTGCAACTCAAGCTTTGTTCCATCAGGATGCATATATCCAGTCCAACTAATGATCACCAATGACCTCGAAATTAATATCACCTTGGCCACATTACTGTAACATGGGGTGAAAAGGACAAGATTGTGTGGACCTAATTCTATTGGGCTCCATCTTGGTATTTCTTTTATAAAGTGGCAGTCAGGCTGCAACATTATGGTTATTTTGTTCTTTGAAAAGCCGGCCCTGCACATGGAACATTGGACTCACAGACTCACAGTCTCTTATGCACCAAGCATTCTCTTCATGATTACCATACTTTCATTTACTACAACTACAATTGATGATGGAAAAGAAGTTGACTAACTTCTCAAAACCAAATGCAAATATTACTAACCAGAAATCTGCACAAGAAGCTCCATGCCCAATTGAGGAAGCACGTGAACTCACAAGAAGATTTTAATGGAACAATCCCCTCAAAAAATATAAATCAATTCCGATTAATCTGTCAGAGAATCAATCCACAAGTTGAATGTAAATAACTTTCAAGTACGATCAAATTGTTCAACCAAAACAATTTTAGCTCTCATTACAACAAAACAAAACATAGTGAATAAACTAATGGCACCAAGACACGAACACAAATAACAACAATCAGTAACCCAAGTATATAAATCGAAACAATGAAGATTGGAAATAATGACTATAAGATCAATCTATCACAATGTATTAATATAAAATATATATATATATATTCCAAAGCTATTAAGAACAGAAACCCTAACCTAATTCATTATAACATCTACTGCAATCTAATTAACTCGTAATATAAAAAACCCTAAAAATTCGGAATTAATCAGCACTTGAGTCAATTAGTCGAAAACCATCGAAAAGATTACCTTTTAAAAGTTGCAGAGGCTGAAGAATTGACGGTGAACACGAATACATATTCGGTTTCTTCAACACCTCTGATGTTCTGTAAGCGCTTCTTCCTTTCAATGTGCAGAATGTGTACGGAGGTTAGAGAGAGAGAAAGAGCGGCAGGAGGAGAGGAGAGAGAGAGGGCGGCAGATTGAGAGAGACAAAGGAGAGACTTTGGTCCCCCCGCGATGATCGAAGGAAGACCAAGGAGTAAGGGGCCTTCAAAAAGGAGTAAAGGACAACATCGTTATCGTCTGTAGCCGAGACCATGGACTTTGCTAAAAGTTTTGAACACGTGTGACGTCCTAATAGGTGTTAATGTAGAATAATCAACGTAGCACATGGTTTTGCGATTAGATCGTTTGATGAACCGCTGTCTGATTGGAACTTAGTGGGGGAGTTGACTATTATCCATTTAAAATGGAAAATGATTCTTCTGGTCGAAGAGCATTACCCAATACGACTCGCTTATCCTTATCATGGGAAACTCGTGAAATGGATGTAAATGGGTTAACTGTTAGGTTATTTATTACCTAGTATTTAATAGTTAAGCTTTTGAATTGAATCTCAAAATATTCACCATATAATTATTACCAGAATCAGACTCATTATAGTTTTACCGCAACAATACATTATAAATTCAGATAGAAAAAAATGTTAAAAAAAAGTCTTATTCCACATCGAATCTAAATAAAAAACAAAATAGATATAAATAACCTAACAGTTGACTATTATAAATTCAGATAAAGAAAAATGTTAAAAAAAAGACTTATCCCACATCGAATCTAAATAAAAAATAAAATAGATATAAATAACCTAACAGTTGACTATTATCCATTAAAAATGGAAAATGATTCTTCTAATCGAAGAGTATTATCCAATAAGACTAGCTTATCCTTACCATGGAAAACTCATGAAATAGATGTAAATAGGGTAACTGTTAGTTTATTTATTACCTAGTATTTAATAGTTAAGTTTTTGAATTGAATCTCGAAATATTCACCATATAATTATTATCAGAATCAGACTCATTATAGTTTCACCGCAACAATACATTATAAATTCAGATAGAGAAAAATGTTAAAAAAAGACTTATCTCACATCGTATCTAAATAAAAAATAAAATAGATATAACTGAATTACGTATAGCAAAACACTCACGGTTACACTTATCCACTTAAATTAAAAAATAATAATAATAATAATAAATTCTCTTACATTTATCCGCTTAAATAAGATTTATTTATTTATTTATTTTATTTATTTATTTTTGTGTGAATTGCTGTCAAGTTATAGTATTATGACTAAGAAATAGGGAATGACTATATAGTATTATGATTAATGGAATATTTATTATTTTTTAACAAAATATATATATCGTAATTAATTATTGATCGAGATACTAAGATTTTATTCGAATAAATATTAGATTTTATTTAGATAAATATGAGAGAAAATAAAAGATATGATAACATTACTTATGACAGAAGAAAAGTTAGAAATAATAATAAAAAAAAATGAAAATATTCTTGGTTGGAGAAAAAAAAAATGATAATATTTTTGTTTGGAAAAAAAAAAAAGAAAAAAAAAGGAGATAAAATAAAAGAAACTATTCTAATCAATAAACTATTATGCCCTAATATTAAGATAGGACCCAAGCCTCTTCCAAACTTTTAATTTTTTTAAATGTTAAGATTTTTAGTATTATGAAAGTATCACTTAATTAGTGTTAATTATTTCTTTGAAATCTTTTTACTTTTGAAATAATAAAATAGGAGAGATTTGGAAGGTTCCAACTCTTTTTCATTCTTTGATTTTTCTCCTCAGTGTCAAATCAAACATGAAAATGGCTTTCCCCCTCTTTCTTTTTCTTCCAAGAACAATACTTGGGTCCAATAATGTGGCCTAATAAAATTGCTACAAGTATTAAAATTTAATATAAAATTAAATTGAGTATTGCTTAACTTTTATTTTTAAGCATGTATTTTAAATCATAATATTTACTTTTAGGCACTTATTTTAAATTTATTAGGATCACATTAGCCGGTTGGATCCTTCCAATTCCATCAATACAAACTAACTTAAATATTCTTATCGAAATGCAAGTGCTTTTTTTTAGCGCGAGTACTCTGCAAGTCCACAAGCAATATCATTATTTCCAAAATGCAATACCATAAAATATATTATGCAACACATGAATCTGAATCCCCTCCGCCATCTTGTACATTGGTCATTTGACGCGTATGGATCTTTAGTGCAACAGTGACATGAAAAAATTGTTTTATAATACTAATATGTTCAAGACCGGCTACACTCTTAAGCGATTTAGGCACCTAAGGCCTAATCAATTGAAAGACTCCTAAAAATATTATTTCTTTATTATATTAGACTTCTTAAAAAAATTTATTTCCTTTATCAGTTGGGCTTTAAAATTATTATTTCAACTTTTAAATATTTTTATTTCCTTACATTATTAGATAGTCAAGCCAATAAGGAGACCTCTAAAATTATTATTTTTTTGCTTTATTAGACTTTTTAAAAAATTTATTTCCTTATATTATTAAGTCCCTAAAATTATCCTTATTATTTTATCTTTCTAAGTTCCTAACATTTTTCTTTCCTTATATTATTAATTCCAACTAATTGAAACTATTTCCATACTATAAGGCCCTAAAATTATTACTTCCTTAATGTATATTATTGTTATTATTTTTACTAGTATTATTTACAATATATATCGGGTTAACAATATATTATAAATTTATTTATTTTATTATATTATTATACTCCTCCTAGCTAAATAATTTGATTAATTCTAAAATTTTCATTTCACTTTCTATCAAAATTCACAATTCTATCCTAATCTAATTATTTTTCCCTCCTCCCCTTCTTCCACGTTTCTATTGAATATATATTTAACTAATAGTTAAGCTAAAACAATTAACTAATAATTGTGAAAATTAGTTTTTAAATAATTTTAAAATAATAAAATATTAAAAAAAATATTATTCACTTCGATTTGTGTTACCCTACTCTCAAACAGTTTTATTTAAATAATATTATTAATATATTAAAATGTCACTTTTATAATTTTCGCCTAAGGTCTCAAATTATATTGAATTTTCCATGAATATGTTATATAATTTTTGAATACTCGTTATTGTCATCTTTGCCACAAAAAATAATCTCAGTATTAACATTGCGACGCTTATACTTCAAAAATATAATATTTGTATTGTGTACTTGCATTTTCAAAGTAAATATGTTATATTTTGAGAGTAAAAAAGTTGGCTATATACACCAAAGTAACTAAGCGTTTTTGTTTGGGTGATATATCTTCACGAGTGAAGAGTGGAACTTGTGAAGTTCCTATTGAACTTGACAAATTCGATTTCCGCTTTTATTCATATTTACCAATTAAGCTTTGTTGGCTTCTGATCAAAAGTTCTTACAAGTTGCTATCCAACTCTCGTTATCATCATCATATTTTTTCACCATTGGATACATCTTCCTATTTGTTTTTGTGTGCATGTGCTTGTGTGTGTGTGTGTGTGTGTGTATATATATGACAAACTAACATTCCACATTAGTAGATTATTTTTTAATATAAAGTTTGCTTTGCAGCCACCTCCCACTTTTATATATACTAGAAAAAGGCACGTGCGATGCACGTAGTGCTTTGTAATTTATAGAATTTTTGTTTTTATATATATGTATATTTTTAATTATTGATTTGAAGTTTGTAACAATAAACCTTACAAAAAATTATATTTTTATAATAATTAATAAATAAAATTTTATATTAATAAATAAATACTGAAATATTTTGAAATTGGTGGTAAAATTTGAGTTTTGTAAAGTAATGAATTCTTTTAGGTTTTTATATTAACACTGAAATATTTATATTTTATTTTTTTTAGTAAAGAATAATTTTTTTTTATTATTTTTTGTTAATATTTGCATGTGGTAGAGTTTAAGTTTTGCAAAGTAATAAATTCTTTTAGGTAATTTGTAATTTGAATTTTATTAGGCAAAATTTAAAAAATTATATTTATGTATATGTATAATAGTATAGATTTAAATTTTTTCAAGTAATTTTAAATTTAGTATAATTTAAAATTTACAATAGAAATTCAATTATATTAATTTTAATTAAATTTTAAAATAAAAATTCAATTATACTAATCATACATTTGATTGAAATTGATATAAAAATTAATTATATGGAGTTTGTGGTTTTTTGGAAGACCTCAGCTTTTATTTTATTTTTTTAAAATATATTCTTGTCTAATGTGATAGAGTTTTATAGATAATAAAATAGGTAATTTGTAGTAGAGTTTTATAAAAATTATTTTATTTTCTTTAAAAATATCATTATTTAATTAGATTTCATTTATTAAAAAACTCATAATAAATAGACAAATACAGGTTATATGTGATAGAGTTTTAGTGAAAATAAAATAGTTAATTTGTGGTAAATTTTATACAAACTCTTCAAATATATCTATGTGATAGAGTTTTATTGAAAATAAAATAGATAATTTGAGGTAGAATTTTATATAAATTATTTATTTTCTTTAAATATATATATCCTTGTCTAATTTAATTTTCTTTTATTAAAAAACTCATAATAAAAGGTATTTTGTGGTAGAGTTTTAGAAAAAAATATTTTATTTTTTATATCAATTATTAAATATTTTTTATATTGATAATTATTGTCTATTTATATTTTCTTTTATTAAAAAATTTATACTAAATAGATAAATAGGTAATTTGTGTTAGAGTTTCATATAAACTCTTTTAAAAAATATTTTATTTTCTTTAAATATATCTTTGTCAAATTAGATTTCCTTTTATTAAAAAAACTCATAATAAATTGATAAATATTGGTTATATGTGACAAAATTTTAAAGAAAATAAAATAGATAATTTGTAGTAGAATTTTATAGAAATTATTTTATTTTCTGTAAAAATATTTATAGTAAATAAATAAATACAGGCTATATGTTTTACAGAAAATAAAATAGTTAATTTGTAGTAGAGTTTTATAAAAATTATTTTATTTTGTTTAAATATATTCTTGCCTAAATAGATTTTATTTTATTAAATAACTCATAATAAATAGATAATGTGATAGAGTTTTATATAAAATAAAACTGTGAATTTATGGTAGATTTTATAGAAATTTTATATTTTCTTTAAA